TTTTTTGTGGTACCAGGGATTGAACTCAAGGCCCTGTGCTTACCAGGCAGGCGCTTATTCTACTGAGCTATTTCCCTGGCCCCCCAGAGTTTCTCTTTTAATAGGCCTTAGTTACCAGGAAATAAGTACTATCTATTTTTGAAAGGAAATTACAAATCAAAATTAAATGTTTTATTTCTGTGATTTTTTTCTTTTTTCTTTCTTTCTTTCTTTTTTCTTTTTTTTTTTGGTGGAACTGGGGATTGAACTCAGGCCCTTGAGCTTGCCAGAAAAGTGCTTATTCCACTGAGACATCTCCTCAATCCAATTTTTGTCTTTTTTGAACTGGAAATCTAACTCATGACATTATGCTTGCCCGGCAGGTTCTGCATCAATGGGCTACAGGCCCCACCTGACATGCAGCTTTATAGCTCCATATAGAAAATCAGCTGTACTCCCTTTCCCTTGGATCAGAGCTGAGCGTTTCTCTCATGTAGCCACACAGGTCTACACATGGGACAGGGAAGGCACGCATATTTCCTAGCTCTGCGGAGACCTAGCAGCAAGGAAAACCCAGCAGGAGGAGCACATTGAGTGCCCAGATATAGATGGCTAAATACTTTTCTGCACTCAAAGGAACTCAAACTTCTCAAAAAATAGCTAATTCTGGGGAAAATAGAAGACACAACTGGAACACTTATGCCAGAAAGTAAGGAATTGATCTAAAAATAGTGAGAATTATCAAACAGATGTAGGCATAGTCTTTAAGAAGCTTTTCAACTTAGCTAAATCAACATTTCAACATAACAATGATAGTAATAATCCCAATGCATAAAATAAGATGGTATGAATTCATACTAATATATAATAAAAGTTGAGGAGGAAAGATCTACCTAATAAGACAACTAATAATTATACAAGGATTGGTGAAAATTTTTTAAATCACCATTTGGTAAACAGTAGAAAAGTACTCATGATGCTGAATGGACCAGAATAGTGTATTCAGGGACAATCACAAGCACATTCAGGTATTTGATCTTTGATAAAGGAGCCGAACTAGAGGAAAGAAAGCCTCTTAAAAAAATGTATTTGGTACAGGGTCTCACTATGCAGCTCAGACTCATAGTGATCCTCCTGCTTTCAGCCTCCCCAGCACTGGGATTATAGCCACCGAGGCCACTATGCCCAGTCTCAGTGGCTGCCTCAGTGCACCCAGGGGTGGGGCCAGTGCGGCATGTGGTGCTGGGAATCAAACCCCAGTCCCTGCCCTTGCCTAAGCAGGCACTTAGTCCAATGAGCTACCTCACTGACCCTGAAAGACAGCCCCTTTAATAAATGGTGTTGGGGAGCCTGGCTTACCACATAGAGAAAATCGAATTAAGGCCCGTATCTCTCAGCATGTACTGAGCTAAAAATGAATCAAGAACAAGATGTTTTAAAAGACACACTTAACCTGATGGAACACAAATAGATAAAACTCTTAGAATTAGAAGTGTAAAGAAGGCCTTTCTGAACAGAACCTTGGTTGCACGGAATATAGTGCCAAGAACCTCTGTCCCTTGGGGCTGCCTAAGCTTGCCTAAGCAGGCCTAATGTAGTACCAAGAATCAACAAATGGGATCATATTAAATTAAAAATCTTCTGCACAACAAAGGAAAGGACCCACAGAGTAAAAAGACAACTTACAGAACAGGGTAAAAAATTGTCAAGCTATACTTCACATAGAAGACTCATAGCTAAAATATTTAAAGAACTAAAAAAATTAGACCCCCAAAATAACACCCTATTAAAAATGGGCAAGTGACATGAAGACACTTCATAGAAACACAAATGACCATTGAATAAATATACAAATGCCATTGGAAAAATACAAATTAACATTGAGATTCCAGGGGCTGGGGAGATAGTTCAGTAGAATAAGCACTTGCCTGGCAAACTCAAGGGCTTGAGTTCAATCCGCAGTTATGACCAAAAAAAAATTGAGATTCCATTTTATCCCAGAAATGAGTTATCATCAAGGTATCAGAAAGAGAAAATAACTCTTCTACTCCCAGCTCTAAGGAGGCTGAGACAGGAGGATCGCTACAAATCTGAGCTGTGTAGCAAGACCCTGTACCAGACACATAAATAAATAATCCTTCTATGTGGTGGGAACATAAACTAGTAAACCACTTTGTAAGCCAGTATTTTTTTTTTAGGGAAATTTTATTTTTATTTTTTTTCAAAGTTTTATTGATAAACAGATAGCAATGAGACAGTTTCAAATCAAATCGGAAGTACAGTGTCAACAAATAATACACTGCATATATTCTTCTTAGTGGTTAATTG